CCTGCGTTTACTTGAATAAAAACAATCAGCCATTCAAATATCCCTGAAACATTCACATCACTCATAATAAAGGTCAAACCTGCTTTCAACACGCCAACAAATAATTTCAGTGCTAAAACTGATTTTAATCCTAAAATATTTGGCAAAGGGTTTATAAGTAAAATTGCCTAAGACCATAGGCCACAAGAAAAGAGCGTATTTCAACTCCTGAACTAATAAAGGAGACTTTTTTTTTTTAACCTGCAAAATAGATTTCTCTCAGAAAATGTTTCAAAAGCTCGTTATGCACACACACGTTCAGCTTTTACAGAGTAATTTTCTGAGGAATCCTAGACAATTCCCTAGCAGAGAAGGTGTCTGATGAGCTAGAATCCATCTACATCTGAATAAATCAGTTCTGTTTCTCATTAACATCACAAAATTGAAATACTTATTAGAAATTTGGTTAAAGTGTGAGAATTCCTCAATTATACAGCTCTTTGTAGCTTTACATTCTCCCTAGCTATTGACCATAGCAATCTAAAAGAACAGCAATAAAATTACTTTTTAATTGTCTGCATTAACTTGTTAAAAGTGTATAAAGTTAAGTAAACTGGTTCTCATAAATGTATATACAAGGAAAGTGCGTGGGTTTGATTCATTGCCTCTTACATTTTGTTTCACTTACTCAACACATGACATTTTCTGTTTGCCAGGTACTGTTATAAGAGCTTTAAAAATATTAATTTATTTATCATCATAATAACCCTGTGAGGAAGGCACTATTACTGCCATTTTTCTTGAGGAAACTGGGGCTTAGAGAAGTTAAGTAACTTGCACAAGGTCACAGGCAGCTCTAGCCAAGGTTCAAATCCAGGTGGCAGTGCTGCTCCAGGGTCTGAGCTATTAACCACTACACTGTGTTGACTCTCTTGTTCTACCTTCTTCCTAAAAGAATGGAAGGATAGAATCAAGGGTGGGCATCTATAAAGCAACTATCTACAGAGAATGGTAAAAGAAAAATGTTTTCCTTCCCTCTCCGTAAGCATAAACATAAGGTAAAAGGTTGCATTCCAACCTCAGCAAGCCCCTCTTTAGTGTTATGTTTATAAGCCCATTGTACCCTGGGGATCGCCCCTCCACACTTCTAGAATCTTCACCCTTCTCTCCATTTCCTGCCCCCATTTAGTCTGCATTACTCTTCCAGCCCCAACTGCTCCTCTTCCCTTCAGTCTGATCCAGTCTATCCTTACCAGAGTTCAGTTTCTAAAACACAAAACTCAAATCTTGTCTATACTCAAATCTTCAATGCTACCGCTTTATCTTGTGGATGAAAGCCAGATAATTTAGCCTGATACACAAAGCACTTGCTTCATGTTCCTGCTCGTTCATTAACCTACTCCAAACCTGGCACATAGTAGGTGGCCTCATCCTTCTACGTGTACCTTTCCTTGAGCCATACTGAACTGTCTTCCATTCTATCCCCGATATTTCTCTTCTGGAATTTCCTTTACGACCCTCTCTGCCTTCAAGACAATCTGCATGACCAGTCTTCACCTAGAAAATTCGAATGCACCCTTCAAAACTAGCTCAAGCATCCCTTCTTCTGGAAATGTACCATTTGTTCTACCTGAGGCTGAGCTGCACTTAGTGATACTTCATACTGTGTACCCCTTAGCACTACCAACTTACACCAGCACAGCTCACTCTCCTGCCACTCCACTTAGATCAGTGCTACTCAGTATGATGTGCAGACTGCAGCACCAGCATCATGTGGAAGCCCTTTGGATATGTAATTCTCAGGCCCCACCTAAGAACTACCAGATCAGACTCTCTGGGTTTGGGGCCCAGAAATCTGATTCTTCTGTGTGCTAACAGTAGAGCAGCACTGCACTGAACCTTAAGTTCCTGAGATGATACACCACACATCAATCTGGTCTCTGACTCCCCAGCACCTCTAACTGTCTGGGATGAAGCAAAAGTTCAATAAATGGTCAATGAATGAATGATTGGTTAATCCTTTGACTCATTAAACTTTCTCTTTTGGGGGAGATAAAGTATGCTAGAAACACTATAAATATTAGTTAGTCCATTAATGACTCCAAATATTCTTATAATTGGAATTTTTCTTAAAGAGTAAAGATCTATGACAGCTTTTACTTTTGAATTGGTTAAGGCTCAGTGCTTTCAATACTATTATAAGGGACGCCAAAGTAATTTAAAGTTTAGTGCTTTTTAAGACAAGCGCAAAAATGAAAATTCCGTGAGATGCATAGAATGTCTCTCAAAGCATATTTTTACATATTCTGCAGCATAGCAGGAGGTAGTACCCTCTGCTTCAAGCTTTGAAAGATTACTTGAGTTTCCTTAAATAGGCATTATCTTTCTTTTGACTATTTTTTGAACATAGTAGTTTAGGAAGGAAAATGCAAATTGTATAGCCACAGTAAATACTGTTACATATCAAAATATTATTGCATAGACTTTTCTGGTTTCTCATAAAACAGTCTTCATACTATATGCTGCTCATAGATTTATTGCAGCACTTCATGTTAAAATTAACAAGGCCACGAGTATGATTTTTTATTTTTTTTCAGATGTAATTTCACACCTCTAAAACAACTGATATAAAAGAGACAGTCTATTAAATATAAGGCTGTCCACCAAAGTCATAAGAACAAAAAGTATGTCTTAATTTTGAAAGAATTGTCTACACTGTTGTCACACAAAGTGAAAAAGGACATCATTCTTATAGTAACTTTTAACACATACCCACTCTGGTTACTATCAACAGCAATGTATTGCGGGGAGCCCCATATTTAAAAGGGCACTCACGTAGTGTTCCAAAGAAACCGACCCAGTATTGCAATAGGTAGGGACATCGGTTTATTAGACTTACAAGAGGTGCTGATGATGGCCAGTCAGCTGGAAATCCGCACCACCATGGAGTACATACAACAGTTACACAGTGAACAGATCAAAGGAGAGGTGTAAATCATTTGCATGCTTATGTGTAGACCCTCACCCACTCAGAGAGGGCAGGAGATCTGGCTGAGTAGATAAGTTAACCTAGTTGTTGCCCTCCTGGCTCCAGAGTAGTTAACATTAGTGTTCTAACTCCATTTCCACGCTAATTCATTTACTCAGGGCTCCTTTTTCCTCCTGTCTTCCCTGCTGTTCCTGGGGAGAGGTATATAAGTCTATGTCCAGCATTTACCATACAAACAGTTTAAAAAGAATTCAGTAACTAAAGAGTAATATGTGAGTGCTAGTAATCTAATAGGTAGCTTTAATTATGTACACAGATTTATCTAAAGTACTAATTTGACAAAGTAAAGAATGGGTTGTTTTGCTTAATTACTTACCTTGAGGTTAGGGACTTTCGAGATAGCAGAGTACAAAACAGCAGTATCTGCTAGTAAAATTGCTGTCCAGTGGACATTTAAGTAGACAGGCAAATAGAAAATGACTGTAAGGATAGTGAGGATCTGCATAAATAGGAATTCCACCCTCCCCACTGCCCTCCGACCCTCCAAAAATGTTTGAAGAGGAGACAAAGCAGAGATGCCCAAATTGGAAAACTGTACCCACACATTCCTCAGAGACCAATCTACAGCTGTTAACACCTTACCCTGCCTGGTGTGCAACAGGGTCAGCCTTGGTTCTCCATCTCTTCTTCACAAATATTTTCATTTCACCTTCCTGGCAATTTCTTGGTTGAGAAACTTTTCACCAGTGCTTACGTCGGTTATGAAAATAAATGAGGAAATTCTATTTTTGAAAAATTTCCCCAGTATTAGTTTTGTTAGAACACATATTCTGAAAAGTAGAGGATGACATGTGTAAAGGGAGTAGCTATCAATAAATGTAAATGGCTCTGAAAAAAATTTTGAAATACATTAATTACAGATCCAAAAAGTGCATTCGCCTTCAACTGAAGCACCTCAAAGGCACTCAAAATGCTGCTCAAACAAACACTGAAGATAACCACAGGTTTTCAGGACCACTTGCTTGTTTTGGCCTCTAAGCTTTATACCATTTAGTTCCTCGGGAATGCTTTCCTCCTGTTTTCTCCAAGTTTAAGTCCATGGCTTTCGTAGGCAAGCCATAGAGTTAACTGGGAAGAAAATGTCATTTCAGTGACTTGTTGACCTTGAGTCCCAACAATACAGGAGGTTCATTCCCAACTGTCTTGGGATAATGAAAACAAACATAAGTAGATTAAGTTTAAATAGCAACAGAAAAGAGATAATGGCTAAGGTTTCCCTGGATTAATGTTCTATGTAAGTCAGGTTGTAGCTGTAATTAAGCTGATGAAAATGGGGAGATCCAGTTCCCTTATTCTTTGGAATAACACCAAAAATTTTGAGCAGATATGCTGCAGAAACTGAACCCTGAGAAGAAGTGGTTAAGCAAATACACAGGGTTTCACAATATACTCTAGTAGAAAAGCATCAGAAAGCTTCAGAGGAGAAAATAATGTGTGTGTGTATAATTATGTATGAGTGTGTGCATGTGTATGTGTGTATAAGTACACGATACGGCACATAATGGAAAACCAGTTAAGCATATAAAAACTATATTCAAAATTCTCATATGGCTCTCCTGTGCCCGAATTAAGCTATTGTAACAGCAAGAAGAAACAGTACTGGTCACATCAGAAACCAGATGTCATTCAGTATCAGCACTCTCTCAGTACAGGAAGATCCAGACGTTCGGGCAACTATAGCTTCAGAACCCAGCCAACCACAAATTCCATAGCTGGGATATAAATGCATCAATTCACTCCCTCTCATTAACTTAACAGTCAGGCTTTGAACAATGCAACTGATTAACATATGCATTGTGCTCTTATGCTTTTGCCTCAAATTTTTACTTCTTCAGGGATCAAAGATATCTAAATACTTAGCAAACAAATGCTACTGTGAAACCATCTCTGTAGGATGTAGTGGCACCAGAAGTACCAGAATGATTTTTTTAATATTTCAAGGGAGCAACAAAAATGCTAAAGAAGACAAATCTACGAACCAGTTTTATTTTATTTGCATTTAACATGATTATACACATTCATGTGTCTAACAAGATCTGCACTTTACATTAAAAATACAGTACAATAACATTCAACATGAGGTACTTCATATGTATATATTTTTCCTTCATAAATAATGCTATAAGCTACTAAGTTCAAGCACACTGATGCACAAGTGGCTACAGCATCTTGAATTAGTTCAGCTTATTTAAACACCTTAAAAAACAAAAAAGACAGTTCAGTGCAATAATTATGTAGAAATTAGATCATTTACTTAAATACTATTTTAAGATATGCTTAAAGAATGTTACATTAGAACTGCTAGCCTAAATCCCCTTTATCCCCAGTATGAACAACGACAAACACTGCCAGATACATCGGGAAAAGCATCTACAGCATATTCTGTTTAATAACGTTGTGTTTATACACTAGAATTGCCTGCCTTGTTAGAACAATGGTTTTTAGTTTTAAAAGCTACAAAATTCAAAATTACCAAAGAAAATAAAGCAAGCACATTAGATTTCATTCCATTTTGTTGAAAATGCAGAAAGAAGAATAGGGTTTAGAATATAAAATTTCTTATTCTAAATACAATTTTCAAATTTTACCTGCAGCTCTTGGCACCAACCAATCAGATGGTGGATGTGTGTGTGTGTATATATATACACACACACACACACATATATATATATATATATTTTAGTAACTACATTAACATAAATCTGGTTCTCCTGTACCCAGTGTACAGGAGCTCACGCATGTGCACCAGCAGTTCCCCAGCGACGTGGAGGGCAGCTAGCTAACAGAGCGCTGATGGCGAGCGTAGCGAAGGAAGGATCTGTACTCTACACTGATGACACCCACAATCTGATGGGATGAAATGAGTGCTAAATAAAGTTCCTACTCTTCTGGCTTAAGACTGAGTGCCTTCTAATCAGGTCTACCAATTTGCATGGTAGCTATGAGTTACTGAAATGTTTAACCATAATTTAACAATAAAATCCTTTTCAGAAGTATGTTTTTTTAAATTGAAAACATACCTTTATTTCATCAATGCTTTGCCAAAACTACTAACTGTAATCTCCCTAATAAGAAATAATTGTTAGGTAATTTTGGAAAGTTGTCCTGGGAGTACTCATCTACAATCAGCAGTAACAGCTTTTGATCATCTATGCTAACAGACATAGGTAATGGCAAATGTGTTTAAAATATCTCCCGTAGTCCAGTGTTCTCCTCCTTCAGAGAAGCTGGCTGAAGGCAACGAGCCCACATCTGCAGGGAAGGAAGTGGCCCAGAAGCACTGTGAACAAATAAGAGCACTCACTCACTGGGCCCTGCTGGGCCAGCAGGGGGACCTTACTGTCCCACATCTCACTGCCAGGCAGAGAGGAGACAATTCCTGAGTCGGCAAACACACTTGCATGCACAAGAGCACGCACACACACACACCCCAGGACTAACCCCTAGCTCCAGACAGGCCAGTTTCAGGCTTGCAGAGCAGGAGAAGGAGGCGGCCAGGGACCACACTCTGGGTGGCGGGGGAGGCCATCTCAGGATCACACTGAGCAGAAAAGCTGCCCAGAAACACATGGATACTTTCACTGGACGTGAACACACTGGACACTGCCAGTGTTACAGGCACAAGTCATCACTGAGGAGAACATTTACTGAGCTTTTCCCTCCTTTGTTTACATTATCTGTGGACAAACGAGAGCTGGATGTGATACTGGTGCAGTGAATATTAGGTATAATCATATTTGTCGCTCCACACCATTTTTAAAAATTGTGCAGGTATACATTGGCACTTTAAGATGGCCAGAGGACAGATTCTAGCAGTCTAGGAACAGGACAGAATTATAATTAACAAAGAAGACAGTATATGGTCAGAATAGATTAGGTAAAGTATATTTCAGATTAAAAAAAATAAAATGACTAAAAGTATCTTATCACATTCACACATAGTGCTACAAAACTGTTACCTTACGCCATTCATCTAAAGAATGTTTGGTCCTCTTTGAATGGGGAAAAAGGGAATAGGAATTCTATATAGTATGACATAAAAGCAAGCAAATAGTAGGGATCAAAAGCTAAGTGGCAAGAAAAGTGTTTGCTTTTTTTTCAAAATGTGTATTCTAATGTGCCATTAATTAAACTATTTTTAGGATGGAAATTTTTAGGATTCCTTCTCAAACTGTTTTAGTTTAAATTAATAGGCCTGCAATTTTTCTATTGACAATAAAATTTTATAACTTAGTTTTTTCTAAAAGAAGTGTCTGTATCAGATATTTTGTCTTCTACACTAAAGGATATTAATCTCCTTCTAGTAGAAGTCATGGCATAAACATACACCCAATTCCTTATTTTCCTTTTTTACAATTGACTTTGAAGTGTTTAATATGTAACAATCTTATGATTTTAGGATTTTTTTTAAAAAAAAAAAAGCCCAGAAGCAACAAATTTAAAAGAAATAAAGAGCTAAACATGACTACTGTCTCTTTCAAAATTGTACACTGAGGTTTATCTGTGTTTTTGTTGGAGAGGGTTCTATTTAAAAATAATTCTTCTTATTTTAGACTATTTCTCTCTATTCATCAATAAAGTCCAAAAGGAAATTTGAGGTGATCAAAAATTTCTTCAGAGGAACAAAACTGGGAGGTTGGTATGGCACTTGGAAGAGCACAAAGTCTCCCCACGTGCACAGACGCAATTTTAAAAACCACAAAGCCTTAATAAGAACTTGGCTCTTTTAAGCACACAGTTAAAAGCAGAACGCTGCATTTTTGCCTGTACATAATTAAAAGGTTAAAAGTAATTAGAAACTGCCTACTGCTTCATTCATTACAAATTACCTGCGCTGATCGTATATCTGCAGATGAGCTAAAGCATCAAGCACATGGGGACCAGATGTGCACCTCGGAGCCCACACTGCTCCAGGAAGTGAGTTTTCAGGCATAGAATATAAGTTCGGGAATCTGCCCTCCCTGCACCCCAGTGCCGTTGGTGCTATCTGAGGAGCACTGAAACTGGACGGTCACTTTGCCACACTGAACTTCCGTCATGCCTTCTTGTCCGAAGTAGCTAAGTTCATTGCCATCCAGTATCACACTGGCTGTGTAGAAGGTGTCTGGCTCAATCTGCACTGGGTACTCAAACCACACAGGGAAGGTATTGCTGGAGCCATCTGAGAAGTACTTGCTCAAGTTCTGCCCCAGGACAACACCCTGCCGCTTGAGTTCAATCTTGGCACTATATTCTGCAGAGCCACAGCTGGAACCATACAGCCCAAAGCCAGCAATGAACACTCTTTTATCAACTGCAAACTGGATGCTGTCACAGCGACCTCTATAGCGCCACTGGTTGCTCCGATAGGCACATGACTGGAAACGGTGACAGCGCTGGGGGACAAGGCCCTTGCGGGCTTTACTCACAAACTGCAACTCGGGCTTTTTGGCTGCAGTATACCAGAGGAAGATGTCGTTGGTTTCATTAAGAGTTAATACTCCGGACTGTGCAGCGCCATTTGCAAAGTCATCGAGGGCCATTGTAGGTATGCGAATCAAGTAAAGTGCCTTTCCTAGGACCTTGCGTTTATTTTCAATGCTCAGAGCTAGATCTTGTCGCTGGCATTCTACTTCAGCCCAGTTAAGAGCTGCCTCAAAAACCACAATTTCTTTGGCATTCAGAGTTTCCCTGCGGAGGATACTTTCTAGAGTCTGGAAGTCGATATCACAGAATCCCTCAGACTTGAGCGCTAACTCAGCCTGGGCATCAATCACCTCCCAGCAACGCTGGGTCAGGTCTGGCTCCTCGAACAGGCAGCTCTGGGAGAGGAGCACGCAGGCGTTCTTGGCGCTTAGGCTGGTCTCCAGGAAATTAACGCAGGCTCTGGCAAGGTGAGGGACAATGTACTTTTTGGCAGCATAAAGAGTGGCCAGCACTGTGTCAGCAGCCAAGTCAATTTCATCACAATAGATGTATCTGAAAGAAAAGGCAAAACATGTAAACAGCTGGTTTACAAAATGAGTGCATTCAACAAGAAGATTCAACTACTTTCAAGTTTATTCCAAGAACTATGTGACAGTTATTAAACCATGTTTAGATATTAAAGAAACGTGAAATATACTCATCTAATTATTAATATTTTAACTCATTAGGAAGTCTGTATAATTAAAGACATTAACTTTGTGTACCCATGCTAGCCTATATTGTATAAGCTGCATTCAACAAAAACGGAAGACATTGAAACCGTATGAAAAGGAACTGCATATCAGAGAGTCAGTCAATATTAGGAAAAAAATAGCAAAATTCTATTATTTATCCTATATTATATTTAATCAAAAAATAGTCCCTCTATGTTGTAGGAGCAATATATATATATAGTTTTACTGTAATTTTTTTTTTCTAGATGAAACAAATACTTTTAATTCTGTTATGTCAGTAATGATTGCATCTTGATGCTTTTGGATTTTTCTTAAACATAAAATAAAACCTGAGATTAAATAAAATAGTTTTCAAGTACTTCCAGGTTCAATGGATTGTCAAATATGGACTTCAACGCTATCTCCCAGTTAACTTTACATGAAATCCAACAGACTTTGTATCTGTTTCTTTCTTTTTTTTTTTTTTAACTCTAAAACTCTTTCCCCTCCCATACAGGCATTCTGTCTACCTTCAGAATTAAAGAATACATTATTTCCAGACATATTTAATGAAAAGACAAAGTAGGGGAGCTTAAATATGACTACTTCTGTGCTCTGTGAACTATGGCTATTTCAGGAGATGAAACACTTCTTGATGTTTGGGAACAGTGGCAGTCTCTCAAAATGGTATGTAAAGGTGGACATTGTCTGCTTCTCTTAGATTGCTGTGGTTGACACAAGAGATAGTCAGTGAGAACTACTATGAAAAATGCATACTGATAACACTTAACTTTAAAATTCTTCTAGTTAAAGTATACAGCTACTTTATTGGAGGATTTACTTTAGTTACTATATTTCAACTTAGTGAAACACACATAACTCAGCAATAGTTTCTGTAAGAAGTACAAAAACACAAGGATGGCAATCAGAAAAATGTCCACAATCACAAACGGAACCTGCCTTTGCGCTCCTAGGAGGCCCTTCTCTTCTGAGAGGCTAAAGCAGATACCACCGGCAAGGCTGCGTGACAATAAACCTGCAGCTCAGTAACGCTCTGACCAAGAGCCAGGGCTGTGGGGAGGATCCTGGAGCATGATCAGCACTTTGTAGCTCCTACTCTGGACCTGTCGAGTGAGCAGGTGTCCCTTTTTCTTGACAACCCCCTTTCCAGGAATACTGGCTACTCATTCACAACATGGGAGTGAGGGAACCTGGCCACCACTATCTCAACTATGGCATGACTGCAAATGGTACCTCACTGCATTTTGAACCACTTTACATGGATTGCACGTATAATTTTAAAAAGCCATATCAGTATATACTCTAGGCAATACATCTGTGAGAAAATATACTTCTCAAATGACGAATCAAGTGACTCAGGTGAAATGTAATTCTTGCGATTCTTGTTCCCATTTGCTAATTAGGTACATATCTGGAACAACACAACACTCTACTTGACTGCAGTGAAGCCAAAATGCTGAACTAGTGCTAGCATTCTTACCGACATCATTGACACCACTGTCAAGTACACAGTGCTGACTTCATTTCACGGGTATGGTGGGGATGGGGCAGGGGTCCTCGTAGGTAAAACTGGTTGCTGATTTGGACCTCTACTAAAGGATCACAGAGGTTAAGAGTGGTGGATTAGTTTACGTTTTGGTACTTCACATTCTCATGCCTTTAATGTCCCTGTCTCCCAGTGTAAAAGTTCTAGTCTACAGCAATTAGATTTCAAAACTATACCACGAATAAAGAATGAAATACTTTTAAGTTCTAGAACTAACTATAATACTTATTTTTCAGCAGGCAGCAAACAATATATAGCAACATTTTAACTATTTGTGGAAGTATTGTCTAACTTGACCCAGTGAATTATTTTTTCAACAAATATTTTATTTATTCCAGTGAACCGAAGTAGATAACCTCGAACTCTGGTATACTTTGATGTGGTAGAATAAGGATTATAAGGATTAAGAAAAATCATATAAATATTATTTAGAATAATAATTGGAGTTTAATTGCATGGTAGACTAGCACATTGTCTAGTACCAATACATGGTAAAGAAGCAGTTAGAATCTGCTTCTTTATTTACCTGGTTAACGTATATTAGAGTCTGCCAAAGATCCACTAGATATAAAACTTTTTTTTTTTTTTTTTTGACCGGTAAGGGGATCACAACCCTCGGCATGG